GATTGAGATCAAGAATCACACATCCACCTTACTTGGCGGAAATGTCCAGATGAGTGTTAACGATTTTTCCGATAGCGAGGACCTTGAGGGTCTGGTTAAATACGTCTCCAAACTTGTTGAAACTAAATCCGCGCCAAATCCAGCTGTAATCTGAAAGAGAGTAAGTAAACCACTAGAATATATTATCGACTATAGAATCGACTTAAACCATACTTTACACAAAGTTACATTGTTTTCCAAATTAAGCAACAAATATTTTTTAAAAATTTGCTTTTATTTAATTCGATGCAGAAAAAACATTACTTGTCCAAATTGTGTCACATTTATTAACCTATTTAATAAAAATTAAATAAAAAAACATGAAAGGTTTGATCTGAATTCTAAATTCAAGACGACAAAAGACATCGCACAGAAGAAACAAAAATATTTACTAGAATTATTTTTGGCTCATTAGCTGATATTTTATTTGGTCCAGTAATCAATTTATTTAGTAATCTATGTATCTTATCAGTAGTATTATAATTTAAAATAAGTTGAAATACATTGGAGATTAAAAGTTATTTGGTTCAATCATTCTTAAACTAGGTTATTTCTAGAACGAACGTTTAGGAATATGCTTACGATGGCACGATAATCATTCGTATGAAATTAATTAAGTACCATTTTTCATGCCTGGCTTACTTTAGAATTGTAATATAGTAATTCAAAACTATGATACACACATAAATAAAGTGAAATTATTAGAGAATGCCTTCCAAATACACAGCACACTCTACTTTGTGAAAACTTGTCGATCTTATTAAATAACCCATTTGATCATCATTTAACTGCTGAGAAGTGGCTAATCGTGTTAACGTAACTAATTAGCATGCACATCATTGGTTCTTAATTACTTATTGACAACATGTACCTTCATGACGACAATGATCCTGCAGTCTGTCAACGTATATACGTAACTGTGACATATTTAGATATGTATGTATCTAACATCAAGCCCAACCTTTTTATAAAATTTTTTCCGATAATATTTAATCCCATCAAATAATTGGTAGTAGGTTATTACTTATAGTAATCAATCAATGTAAAAAATTATCGACGTTGGAAAATTGGACAAACGCAAATTAGATGCAATTGAATGTACGTGCATAATTGAATCCGCAAATTTTGAGAAATTATCTTAATACTAGCCTATAAGCCCGTCCTCAAGACGGGCCACATCAATTATTTTTCACGATCACTGCAAGAATATTAAATTAAGCCAGTACATAATAGACGCGATGCACTAAACTCGATGAAAATTATAATTCTAAGTAAACAAACAGCAAATGCAGTTAAGTCAGGAAGTCACTAAAGTCTTATGATATTTATTATCGAAATCCAAAATCATCCAGTAATTTTTATTCTGCTAATGATTTTTGAGGTTCCTATAAGGATTTCTTTAATGTTGCCGCGGAAAATTTTTATGTTACCAAGGAAATTTTTTATGCTGCTAAGGAAATTTCTTTATTTGCAAAAGAATTTTTTGATGTTGCTAAGGAATTTTTCTTATGTTGCCAAGGAATGTTTTTGACCTTGCTAACGAAATTGTTTTATGTTTCTAAGCAAAATTATTTATGTTGCCAAGACATCTTTTTATGTTGCTAAGAAAATTTTTTATGTTGCTAAGGAGTTTTTCTGACGTTGCTAAGGAAGTTTTTTCACGTTACTACAGAATTTTTTTATGTTGCTAAGGAATCTTTTACGTGTTGCTAAGGATTTTTTTTCACGTTGCTAAGTAAAATTTTTGACGTATCACAGGAATTTTTTAAATTTTGTCGACGAATTTTTTTGACGTTGGTAAAGAATTTTTTAACGTTGCTAAGGATTTTTTTAGCGTTGCTAAGGAATTTTTTTGACCTTGCTAGGGACATTTCATTATGTTGCTAAGCAAATTGTTTTATGTTGCTAAATAATTTATTGACGTTGCGAAGGAAATTTTTTTATGTTGCTAAGGAATTTTTTTGACGTTGCTAAGGAAATTTTTTATGTTGCTAAGGAATTTTTTTTATGTTGCTAAGGAGTTTTTCTGACGTTGCTAAGGAAGTTTTTTCACGTTACTACAGAATTTTTTTATGTTGCTAAGGAATCTTTTACGTGTTGCTAAGGATTTTTTTTCACGCTGCTAAGTAAAATTTTTGACGTATCACAGAATTTTTTAAATTTTGTCGACGAATTTTTTTGACGTTGGTAAAGAATTTTTTAACGTTGCTAAGGATTTTTTTAGCGTTGCTAAGGAATTTTTTTGACCTTGCTAGGGACATTTCATTATGTTGCTAAGCAAATTGTTTTATGTTGCTAAATAATTTTTTGACGTTGCGAAGGAGATTTTTTTGACGTTGCTAAGGAAATTTTTTTATGTTGCTAAGGAAATTGTTTGACGTTGCTAAGGAAATTTTTTTATGTTGCTAAGGAAATTGTTTGACGTTGCTAAGGAAATTTTTTTGTTGCTAAGGAATTGTTGCAACTTTTCGAAGGAAATTTTGTATCACGAGGAAATTTTCAAGGCGTTGATGAGTTTGTATAATTAGGGATTATAATTAATTATAATTAATTGAAAATCGATTGTAACATCGATTGTAACATGGATTGTAACATCGGTTGTAACATCGATTGTAACAGAGGTTGTAACATCGATTGTAACATGGGTTGTAACATCGATTGTAGCATCAGTTGTAACGTCGGTTGTAACATCGGTTGTAACGTCGATTGTAACATCGATTGTAACATGGGTTGTAACATCGATTGTAGCATCAGTTGTAACGTCGGTTGTAACATCGATTGTAACATCGGTTGTAACATCGATTATAACATCAGTTGTAACATCGGCTGTAAAAGAGGTTGTAACATCGGTTGTAACGTCGGTTGTAACATCGATTGTAACATGGTTGTAACATCGATTGTAACATCAGTTTTAACATCGATTGTAGCATCAGTTGTAACATCAGTTGTAACATCGGTTGTAACATCGATTGTAGCATCAGTTGTAACATCGGTTGTAACATCGATTGTAACATCGATTGTAATACTAAAATGCATGTAGATTCTTTATTTCACTTATTATCATTTCATACGCATTACAAAAATTACACATCAGAAAAGCTGACTACAAAGGAGTCGTACATTAAAAATCCCTAACCTGAATAAAAAACGAAGAAATCATTTAAAAAAAGTCAAAATAAGTTAAAAAATAAATTAAAAGTAATACACATCTTCCAATTCTTTGCCTTCCGGGAGTGTCCCTAAAATGGAGGCAACGTTTCCCCGCTGAACAGCCAGCGAGATTCTTTGGCGGAGGAATGTGACAGCATTGGGCTGTCCGGTTCTTGCGGCTATCAGCTCGCCAATTTGGTTGATGAGGAGGAGCCCCTCCTGGCCCCACACCCCCGTCGTTTCCATTGCGACGGGAACAAAAATAAAACGGTCAAAGAGGAAGGCGTACCTCCTCCTCTTAGTATCTTCCGCCATGCTCGCAGCGGCGCCTTGATAGCGCACCGTGTTGGGAAGGTAACTGGAGGCAAAAGTGTCTACGCATGTAAAATCCCAAAGCAAGGATTTTCCTCTCGACCACGGAATAAGCGTCATTCCGTCGGGACGCTTGCCATCCTGGGTGGAGCATCCCGCCGGCTCCCGGATGCAAGGAACTTCCGCCGAACGGAGCGCTCTCGCAATCACGTCGTTGGCGGCCTCATGGCGGGACCAACGTCCCGCACTGCGCCGACAGGAGAGGCCATGATAGCCTCGCGCAGTTACTTGAGCTCCGCACGGGCACTTGTGGGGTTGCCATACGTCGCAGCCCAATCGGAGGGACATTGAGACACGAAACGATTCGTTGGATAGAAGGGTTCCAAGTTGAGGAGATGGAAGGGCATTAAGCCAAACGCCGGCAAACTTATCCCGCAGGGCACGATAGCGGGCGGTGTCCTCCGGGGTGGTCGCTCCTTGTATTAACTGCGACAAGGTGATATCCATCACGGCCCCGGCTGTGTCGACAATTTCTGCTGCAGACCATGCTTGGGCATCTGGTTGCGCCCCCGTTGGACGCTCTCTCGTAGGGGGGTGAAACCCCTTTATAAGATCGATATGTCCGTCCATCTGTCTGTCAGTCTGTCCGTGCGATAACTCAAGAACGGTTTAACGTATTGACTTGAAATTTTGAACATAAATACTTCATATAAAAACAAAGGTCAAGTTCGAAGATTTACCCTGAGGGTCACTCCCTTCAAGGTCAAAAGGTCACGAAATGTCATTTAAAGGTCAAATGGCATATATGTATATCAATTTGACAGGAAATTTAACCCCGAATTCAATGGTCACATCCGTTTTGACCTCAGAGGTCATCTAAAGGTCACTTAGAGGTCACTGAAATGTCACTAAACGTTAAATCTGATACATATGTCGATTTTAACTGAAATTTAACCCCGAATTCAATGGTCAAATCCATTTTGACCTGAGAGGTCATATAAAGGTCATTTAGAAGTCACTGAAAGGTCACTAAACGTTATATCTGATACATATGTCAATCTGAACTGAAATTTAACCCCGAATTCAATGTTGACCTTTGTTTTGACCTCAAAGGTCACTTGGAGGTCACTAACCGTTATATCTCATACATATGTGAATTTTAACTGAAATTTAACCCCGAATTCAATGGTAACATTCATTTTGACCTCAAACAACATGAATTTGTTAAATGACTCTATGTTAACTGTTAACTGACACCATATGTTAAATTTGATACATATGTTACCTCACAAATGTTATAAAGTTCTCGGTTTCACCCCTTCGTTACATGCGTTTAACGGTTTATTTGGTTTAGGCATGTTATGATAAATCTTGAGAGACGGAGAGCTTCCAATTTGGAGGTTGGGTTAAGAATTTGGTAAATATCAGCAGGATGAGAAATTATCTTAATGATTTTGACGATAAAATAAAAATATAATATTTATTGTCTTTAATTCACAAATTTTGAAATGTTCACCAATTTTACATATGTCAACCCACAACCGGCAACAAGCCTTGATACCCGCCTTCGACGATCCCAGTCAATATCCCTTTCATAAAGGTGGGCACGGGAGGGATAAAATTTGTCGGGGTGAATAATCCCGGCACCGTGAGGAGATCCACGTTCAACCATCCCTCGACAAATATGCAGAGGGAATAGTTCACATCGAAGAAGTGTAGGTGGTCTAAAAGGTGGTAATTTCGTCCCACCGAGTTGGAACAGTCGGGATCTTCGTAGACTTGCTTCGAACAATAGTATATCTCGTTATCACTCAACCAGACTTCTTGACCGTGATGCACGTACATGATGCCGGTCGGGAGGTTCAACATTCCTAAGACGTATTTCGGAATTATCTGTATGTGTGGGACTTTATCTGCGCTGAAATTCGTAAATTTGTATGTGTAAAAAATATAAGAAAAACGATACAATTAATTTTAAGGTTGCCCGGGGACCTCGGCCGAGTATGAATGTTGCCCGGGTACCCTACCCGGCAAGGTGGAAAACATCGGGGAAATATAGATAATTTTTTCCAAAGGTTACTCTACAATTTGTAAATAATTTTCGCACGAAATTTTGCCACATTTGTTTACATTCCTTTGAAATATTTTTTTCCCAAGTAAAGGTGAGAATAAAATTCTCTAGCTTGCAAATTTCTTTGCAAGGTTAGAATCTGTAATAAAAAACTGAACATACTTGCCAAAAAACAGTCTGAGAAACTTCTAAACAACTTCTAAACAACTTATAAATAGTTAAATCAGACCCAATTCACGCCTGAAGAAGCTGTATTTTATGGCGAAACCGGTCTCGCCTGGTGAATAAATCAGATTTTTGATCAATCAGTTGGAAGTGTTTTGTTCACAGCTTTATAAATTACTTGGCAGGTTATTTTTGAATATCCAACCGAGAATTTTAGAATACCCAACCAGGTAAGCCGGCCGGAGACTCTAAAATATTACTTCTGAATAGCCTTCTTCTTTAGGGTATCTGAAGAAGATTGAGTATACAGCGTATCAGATGCATAGACTCAAAATAAGGTAGTAATGAATCATTACCATGCGGAATCACTATGTGTCTCTACCACGTCGGTTACGATTTGTCGTAGAAATGGTAATGATAAGTTCAGGGAAATTCAAATTCATTACCAAGTATTAAGGAAGTGTAATACCATTATGTATTAAATTTGAATTTCCCTGAACTTATTATTACCATTTCTACGACCAATCGTAACCGACGTCACAGTCATTCCGCATGGTAATGATTCATTACTACCTTATTTTGAGTGTAGTAACCGGGGCAACCTTGCTAAATGCAATATTGTACCTACCCCGACACCACTCTAGCCATCGGGATGGGGAGGGCATTCATGTAATTTGCGTATTCCATATTTCCCGTTCGAGGCTGACCATACGTGATCAGGACATAATTCGTGTCAGGGAATTGGTCCAGACTTGTCATCAGGTAGACGAAAAGAGATGCCATGGCCGCACCTAAACTGTGCCCGGTTACGACCACACGAAATCCTGGATTCTGGGCAAGCAAAGTTCCAACCTTTTGTACAACCTGTAGAAACAAAGCTGCTTGCACCAAATAATGTAAAACTTATACATATTTTATCCAAGAGTTTGGTAAATTTAGCTATTTCATTGGTCAAAATTTAATATAGATTGGCAGAAAAGAAATCCGTCAAAAGAACATTAATTTTACCCCAGCGGAAGTGGGAGTCAGGGTAAGGAAAACCCCGGGGTTTTGCATACCTTTGGGTTTTACCTCGCTTTTGTGGGTAGTCGGGATAGTCGGGGTAGTCGGGGTAGTGTGGGTGGTCGGCGTAGTCGGGGGTAGTCGGGGTAGTCGGGGTTTTGGGGGCAAACGGGACAAGTGTCTCATGTGAGCCTGCTTTTTCAGCAATTTCGCAACGAAGCTGCTTATTAATTTAATTTTAAGACCTTATTGAATTTAGAATTGTTAGTAAATCCCTGTTGTAGCATGTATAAAATTTGAAAACCCGGAAGGCCCCGACTACCCTTGGGTATTGCTAATTTTTGCTACCTCCAAAACCCACCAAAACCCGAAAAACCCGAAAAACCCGGGGTAGCATACCCCGGTGCGTACCGGATTATAGATTGACATCAAGTCCAGCAGAAATCCCGTGTGGACCTCAATCCCGTCGTGTCCCATCGGTGTTGGAAAAGTTGCATAGTCCAAAATCCAATTAGTTATGGCAACAGTTCCCCTGAAAACGACGACAATCTCGTCTAGCTCCCCATGCAGCGTGACCATCCCTTTAGTTGCGTAGATTTCGTTGTAAAAAATCTCGAATTCTGTCACCGTCTCGTTAAAATGTTGGCAATACGGGCACGTCAAGGTTTCCAGCGTCGTGGGACAGTACATCGCAAAGGAAAAATAGTTGTAATACTGAAGGTCTTGTATCGTCATGAGAACGTTTCTGCTAATTTTCGTGGGACGACGTGAGTAGTCGTAAGCCGGACTATTCAACAGGTTCGTAATGCTGCCAAATACGTTGGAAAACTAGAAATGAAAACGTAAAGTTTAAGCGAAATTCTGCGAAACGTAAGGCGAAATGGTTACTGACAATCATATCCCAGGCAGTAATGAAAATAATGCCACACTATATTAATAGTACACCAAACAGGAATAATGGCATTACACAATGGTAACTATCTATGTATTACTGCATAAGTTGTTACTCAGCAAAGCTGTTTTTAACACCTCGTTATAATAAATCAATACCAGGTCAGTAACTTTTGAAATAGTTACCGCACGGTAAATAAAAAGTTACCACGGCAGAAGAGTCACATAGATACTCCACCCGGTAAACATTTTGGTAATGAAATTCTTAAGAGATTCACTTTCATTAATATAATTCGTTATGATAGTGAATGGCTATGAATTTCGCTTCATTTGAATCAAAATTATTGAAAGATTCCATCATTTCAGACGAATGAACGTGAACGAAAAGATTTTTCACGCCTTTCATTTTTCACCCTATGCTTAATACATGGGGCGAACTAATCCTAAGAAATGAAGTTCGATGAAGGGGAAATGAAATGAATTTGAAAGATAATGACTGAATGGGAATGAAAATTTGAATTCAAAAATGGAGATGAGTGACTTTTGAGTGAAAATAATTTTTTTGAACAGGTATGGAACCGTTTTACAAGCGACTGCGTAATAGATGCTAGGACAAGTCCCGGGTACCAGGTACATACATATTCCCAGTACCTGGGACATCTCTAAATACATATTTACTCATTTATTGTGCAGCTCACTAACATTTCTGGTAAGTTGGACATTCATTATCCTCTCTGAATTAGAAGAGCCCTTCGTATTTGGCTTCGTATTCTTATCAGAATGTGAAGTCGAGCTAAAAAACAGTAACAACTATAAATTGTTTTAACCAAAATAATAACACCTGAGAACCAGCTTTGTTACCATGCTCCATAAATACTGAAGGGAAACGCTTGACACGCTTTTTCCTTGAGATTAGTTGTAAATTTTTCAACACTGCCAGATTTCCTGGTTTCCTTAAAAATTATATAAAGTTACATTAATAAATGTACAAAAAACAATAAATTAGGAAATATTTACAAATGATGCTCACCTGGCCACTTCTTTTTTGCCGTAATTTCGGATCATAAAAGTCACCAAACTTCGTCCCAGTTTCACTTTTGAATGTTTTCGTCTGGCAATTAACAATAAAAATTGACACGCTCACACTGATCGCCAAGATGAGTAATTTGGAAATCTGCGTAAAAAATAAAACATTTCTTCAAGCTAGATTAACAAGGGAACATTCCGAGGTGTTCAACGAGTTAGGGGTCGACCCCAATACCAAAATGACCAGAATACATGACTTATTCTGCAAACTGAACGGATTTCCGGGTAAAATTCCCTTTTCGTCAAGTTGTGAATATTTATATTTGTGACTAGCGTGTGACCATCCTGTTGAATGCGGGAGAGGTCGACCACTGAACGATCAGGTCGAGCACGTGTACTTTTTATGAATTGGAGTTTCTCAAGTATCATATAATTTAAGCAAATTTTCCAAAATTTCACATGGTTCGTCAAAATTTCACACATTTGCCTTCAGAATTTATACTAGAGGCAAATTTGTAACTTTTCTCTCGTTTTTTGCTCCACGTGGCGATAACACAGGCGTGGAAATTTTGACACCCGATATTCTTCCTCCAGAGAGACGGAAAGATAATTGATTTTACACAATCGTAACGTACTTTCGAAAAAGGTTCTAAATATTCTCAGTTCAATCAAAATGCTTAATTTCTACCTGATTCCAAGCTGTCATCGCTTCCTTAGAAAATTCCAAGTCGAGAAAATTCTCTCTTTCTGATGAGGCAGACACTTAACTCGGTCAAACGTTAATTGAAGAATGACACACTACTTTTAATTCGACTGTTACCCAGGCAAGATATATACATATACATATGCATATACATAGATATATACATATGTTGTGGAACAAGCAATAAATACTGGTACCTGTACATAACCAGTGTCATCATAAAAATGGAAAGGTTCGGGTACAAGATTAATTTAAGTACTACATACATAAACCACTTATCTGCCTCTTCGTGGTACATATGTACATATTTAGTACGAATGAAAAGAATCTAATACATTATTTTTGTGTGTAAGTATGTAAATCCATATCTTACATACTAATGGTACAGACTAATTTTTAAAATACGCATTTAAGTGCACAAGACGCTTCATTTTAAAAATACGTAAATGCAGGAGATGCTTAATTAAAAAACGTATTTAAGTGCACAGGGCTTAATTTTTAAAATTCGTAAGTGCACAAGGTGCTCAATTTTAAAGTTAAAAACCACATAATATACAAAACTATACAAAATCCGCAGTACCGCTAAAGCTGGCTCTCGATTAGATAACCTCTATTTAATCTAGAATTAAAAGTGCGACTACTTTTCAAAAGGACAACATTATTTTTATGAGTATAGATGGCATAAACTTCACAATGTTTTTATGTATGTGTATATATCTATGTATTGTTACATATGTAAATAAGCACGTATGTATGAGCATATATGTGTATCTCGCTTTTCCAACATGTTTCTAAATATTTCCGCTATTATTTAAAAAACACACATCTTTTATATACAAATGTAATTATGTATGTTTCAAAAATTCTTGGTCTTGAATTTTTGTAATAAATACAAGATTTTTCTTCCCACAGAAATTACACCATAACAAACGCAGATGATTATAAATATTTAAAAATACAAACAAATATTTCAGAATTTTTCGTAATAATATCCGCTCTTTTATCACAGTATGTATGCGGATGCGTACTTAATACCAGAGTTGACACGGAGCCACGTTTTTTGAAACCCGACCCAATATTGGTTAACCTGAACCCGACCCCCCCCCCCTGACTCGAGTTTGCAATGCCCGACCCGAACCGACTCAAATTTTTTCACCCCGAACTCGACCCGCATGACTGGGTAACTTTCGATGCCCAACCCGCCCCAACCCAGTTGAATCGGGTATGGTTAACCCACTCATATTATTCGGCTTAAAAACAGAAATGTTACGAATTCCCAGCATACAATAGTTTAGAAAAGTAAAGAATAAAAGATATTGTGAAATATAACCCTATCGCTTGCTCGACTCAACCCAACACGCCCGACTCGAGCGTTTTCCATGTCCGATCCGACCCGACTCGAACCCGACCTGCCCAACTTGGAAATTTTTGGACCAACCGAAATGCAATGACCAACCCGCTCAAACCCAGTCGGGTCGAACTGGGTCCGGGTTCACCCATTCGAAGCAAGGCGGACTCATCTCTGCTGAATACAAGAAAATTTTTGTAACGTGTGGAATGAGCATGAGATCCAGTCGGGTTTTCTAATGATTCAGGTACTCTTTTGGTGCATAAAATACTGAGGATGAAACTGGTTTTCATATAATTTTTTGACTAATTTGGTACTTGTGTCTTCATGTTGGATGGGTTAATAATGTGACGGTTTTAAGACGACTCTTATCTTATCAAGGTCAAGTAAATAAATTATCAAGAACCTGTGATACATATGTATTTATGCATGCTTCCTGGTTTCGTACGATTAAAAACTTCCAATCAGTAGAGTAAGTGACAATCGACCTTGTTATTTACACTCAAAGAAACCCGGTAACTAAGTTATTACCAGGCGGATTATCTCTGTGGCTCTACACTCTTAATAAAATTGTTACCAGACTGTACAACTATATGACTCTACCGGAATGGTAAAGAATTATTCCCGATTGGTAATAAAGATAATGTTTACCAGCGCAGTCAGTGGCGGAACTATAGATTGGGGGCCGATACGTGAGCTACATAGATTTTGGGGCCTATCGAAATTTATTTTTGCCAATATGGGCCTGTAATTTTTTACGAAGTTTGGCATTTGCAGTTTTACGATCGTTCCTTAAATCAAATATACCTTGCGTTATTTAGTTTTCGTTATGAAAATATTGTTGAAAATTGGAGATGACAAATTTTAAA